CTCAATGTTACCCCAGTTCTCTACAATATGCCCTGATGGTGAAAACTGCAAAGTACAATGTTAATATCCCTGTTGTTTTATTTTTTAACAATTCCAACACATGGTGAGTCACATGATAATTTAAACACCACAATGAACCTTTTGTGTCTATTTTGATTCTTCATGCACTTATTTCTTCTGTAAGATTCAGACTTACTCTAGTGCAAGGACATGTTGATTCAAACTTTCATCTCTCCAATGCCTAATCCACGGTGGGACCTTGATACATGTTAAGGGAGTGAATATGTGGAATTAAGCCACCTTTCCCTTATTTATGGGAAGATAAATGAACAGAACTAAGGGTGGGGAATCTGGCAGTAGGAAATGCTCCTCTGGTAAAAAAAGGAGGAACAGAATTCAGTAAGAGCTATTTTTCAAGAGCATGGACCGTTTTCAGAGTTGTTACGTGAATAGAGCTCCCTGGGGCCTCTCACTGCACATTTCACATTTATGTCATTCTGCCCCAGCTGCATGAGTCAGAGCAGCCTTACAAAGGTGATTCTCAGGAGGTTTGGGGACACACACAGCACGTGCTTGACTGGTGAGAAATCACAGACCTACTACCAGTCCACTACAAATGGTCAGATGACTTCACAGCTTTTAAAACATGCTTTGGAGCAAAACGGAAATAACAAAGTTGGCCATTAGCAGTGTATACTTTTAGGACATTTCAAGTACCTATTTTTTTTCCCCAGACTATGTACGATGGTTTTGAATTTTTTTTTTCATATGTTAAAAGCTTTCTTCTTTTGAGAGAAAAATTTTTGTTATAAGGTGCATGCACTTGCCGGAGAGACAGAGAGACAGAAAACGAGAAATCAACTTCAGGGAGATAGCCATGCAGCAATCCCTCCTCATCTGTTCTCCTCTCGGGATTTTGGACACATACATACACACACCTTGCATGGATTTTAAGTCACCAGGCCCAGGACTCAAACCACACTCGACCACGTGGAAGTTCAGTGCCTTAACCACTATGCCACCTGCTGGCTCCCAATCATTTGCTTTTATTATGTTTTCTGTAGTTCTGCTATACACTAATACATCTAACTTCGCTTTTATTTTTACACTAAATTATAATCCCCAGGAATATTTTTGTGTTCATGGGCCATATGAAGACATTAGAAAAAAAATTTTTTAATATTTTTTTATCATCTCAATACTTTACTATGTTTTATTGTTTTTTTTCTAATTTTTAAAGTATTTATACTATTTTTAATTTTTCAGTATTTTTCTTTATTATTTAAAATTTAATCACTGTGCATCTCAAGTTCCTTTTAATTACAACACAACACAGTCTACTGCAGACATCATCTTCTCCTGGAAAATACTTTTAATATTTTAAGTGTCTGATTATTGTTCCACAGCCATATAATTACATTAACCAATAAATACTAACACAGCTAACTCAGCTCTACCAGAGTTAAGCAATTTAAATGGGTGAGCTGTTATCTCCCAATTAACTACTGCTTTCCTAAACTAGAATTTAAAAAACTAGAATGGATCATCTTTGAATTTCCAAATATATCAAGCTTCAAAGCAGAATTTACCCTAATTATGAATTTATTCTATGTAAGGTCACCATAATTATTTTGTTCTAATTTTTTTCATTTTTATGGGAAAGCCATACTCAAAAGACAATATCATTCATAACTAATTTCACAGTTTTTGTCAATACTAAAAACAAATTGAAAACAAAAAGCATGGCATCCTTAATTTGGTTTTGGAAATCAAAATCAGGGTCAGATTGTGGAGCGGTGGCAACTCGAATGCAACCATGTGAGATGGTACAAAGTTTGCACCCTGACGCCTCCCTGTACACATGTGTGTCCACGATCCAAGCTGGTTGAGCAGTGGATGGAGAGTGACATGAAGAAAATTTTGGCAGGGCTTGATTGTTTGGCTCTCTCTCTCGTTCATGAAAAGAGTAAGTAAATAAACAGGAAAATGAGAACCTAAAAATCAAGCATGAGCCTAAATTCAAGAGCTAATTGTTTCCATACACACAAAAGGTCACTTACCTGCTGAGTCTTGGGTTTCCTGATCTTTACAATAAGCACATCACCTATATTTCTGAGTTGAGATATCGGTATCTTACTCGGGTGAAAAAAAAACGTGTGAAAGTGCTTCAAAATAAGTAAAGCACTATTCGAATACCAGTGCAGATGAGTTTGCGTGAACAGAAAGATTGCTTCAACAAAAATGTGGCTGCTGAATAAACCTATTAAAATGCAGTGGTTTGTGGGAGGCATGTGTAGACACAGCCTTAAAGAATGAGGGTTATATTTAGGGAAAAAACCTCAGAGCATAATCTCCTCTGCATGTATGAAGTTACAAGAATTTAGGAGGAAAAAAAAAAAGATTAAGCAAAATCCCTGTTAATTTTTAATTTTTCCTTTAATAAGGGAGCGTGCACAGAAGAATTTGGGCATAACAAGGCTGAGTCCAGCAGCCAAGTGAATGGCCTTGAGTCTTGAGAATTTGGGTGTAAATAAAAAACTGCTGTACATGAAATAATGATCAGAAATGATGAAGTTAAATATGGCTAGTGAGAGAATATTTCTCGGACTTGGATTCATCCTCCTGCATTTTCTAGAGTTTGTCTTATTTTCTATGTTCCCTTTTTTCTTTTTTTAAAATTAAATTAAATTAATTAATTAATTGTGAGATTTTGCCATAGAATGTGTGCACTGGCCAGAGAGAGGGAAGGTGAGAAATCACCCCTTAGGAAGGACAGACACGCCACATTCCCTTCTGCTCCATTCTTTCCCCAGCATTTGGGCAGGCACATACACATGCCCAGATGAATTTTCAAGCCATTGGTCTGGGGCTTAAGCAGCAGTTGTCCATGTGGGTATCTGGCACTTTAACTACCACACCACCTGCTGGCCTTCCTATGTTCCTTTTCCAAAATGAATTTTACCTCTTTGCTGCACAAGAATTTTCACATATTCCCTATTATCTACAAAAGATGGGCTGACGTCATTATCTGGCATTCAAACTTGTCCATAGGCTGTCAG